GAACACAGACACACACACACACACACACACACAGGAACACAGACACACACACACACACACACACACACACACACTCTCAAGATGCAGACGAGTATACCACTGTTATTCTTGATGTTGGTTGCATGCTATTTGTCAACATGGAAAGAAGGCTATCCTGCCATTATCTATCCCAAAGGGAGCCCCTTCTGCAAGATCCCCCTAGAGCGCTCAACCTAAACAGCACTGGACTCAAGTCATGGGTATGTACTAGGCGCCCGAATCGTTTTTCTTACCTCTATGCTCGACTGCGTTTATTCCAGTTTATCCACCAGGGAGGCCCTACCTCGGGACTCTCGTACCTACCCCCCCCCACTAACAGGCCCCCCCCCTAATCATCCCACCTTGGCCCTCCTCCACAAAGCAGAGCCCTAAGGTAACCGATTCGCGTGATCTATTCCTCCACAATGTGCAAGTATTATCTGCCCCACCTAGACCAGGGGACAAGACTTAGTGTGCAATCATTGAACAGCACATGGACCAAGAACATCAGGCAAACCCCTTGTAGCCTTGACCCCAACATAGAACAGCCATGGACTGAACCCATTGGGTGGCACAGTCAGTGTCTGTAATCCTTACCATGCACCAACCCAACGGGGTGTGCGAACAGCCGCACGTCGGTCAACACATGAGAATACGCCATATCCACGCCTCTGTCGTTTTAAGCATTTGCGGAGTAGTGCAGAGGGGCCCAGTGAATCGGTAAGAACGAGAAGAATTGATGGAATAGACTGGGGATAATACTATGGATTGGACCTGTGCTGTTTTTTTATCTCACCGGGGACAACACCGTAGAACAGAACAGAAACAGAGCAAACCAGAAAAGAAAAGAGTGCACCCACTCAGACACAGGTGAACAGAAATTGAAACAAATAACCAAAAAAAAAAAAAAGAATAACGTGCAGCCGCACCTCCACCCAGCCATGAAGCCGGGAGGTGCACACATGGAGCTGCTTAACTTAGTAAAGAGAGCATAAATTTGAATCCTGATGGAACCAMATGAAGACAGTAACGTTAGGGGAATGCTAAGGGTACCCCTTTCAAATGAAAACAAAGAAAAAGACCCCCGACGGCACAATGGTTAGCCACTAAGAGTCAGCACCAGGATCAGCTGTTTGTATGACCCGCAACTCCAGGCTTTCTGGACATGGTGGGGACGGGAAGTCACAGAGAAGACGCCGTTGGACGTCACTGAAGGGGATGACGCAGCTATCTTATTGGAAGTGCTAATGAAAGTCGGCAGGCCAGCCTTCGGAGACCTGCTGTCTGCAGAAATGATCCGGGCAGTGGTGTTGTGGGCTGTATGGATATTGCGAAATGACTGCTGCAGACAGGTAGCAGCACCTTCACTGCAGACATAGCAGGAAACCAATGGAGAATCGGAGGATTGCGCGGCAGGCAGACTTTCGACAATGTAGGTATGCCATTGGGGGGTATGTGAAGGTGGAGGAATTCTGGAAAAGATGGGATCAGTACCCGCCGCTGCTGACTCACAATTCTGACACAGGCCAGCTACAGTTTGGCCCCGTTCTGTTGCATTACGTGCCTCGCCCGGGAAAGGACCCAGAATAGGAATGGTGTGTTACTCCGCATTCCATAGGGGGGGAGAGCATAGGATGGGTAACGGCTCAAGGGAGGAAAGCTTTAAAAAAAAAAAAAAAAAAGGGAAAAAAGGACAGACTGGGGAACTTGCTGGGGGATATTTTCTTCAAGAGAAGGATACCATGACAGAGGGGAAGGAATGTGATAAGGGAATTGTACAGATCTTCAGGGGGAGGAGTAGAAAGGGGAATAGAACTAAGGAAAGGAATAGACTAGTTTTAAGAGGATTGAAGGGCGAAAAAAATTACTGTAGGTGAGAAACAGAAGGATTAAACATAGTATTCGTGAAAACCTAACAAAAAAAATTGTTAGGTTTGCACGAATTTTTTTAAAGATTCTGATAGTGCATTTTTGAGGCCTCCTACACGAACAAAATTTTATGTGAAGTAAATTAACCGCAAAAAAGGAATAGGAAAGTACTTTTTCAGAATTACTGGAAGTGATGAGGAGAGAAGCAAGGTTTTTTACAAAAAATCACTACCTTGCAAAGCACCGTTTGTTCAGGCGCCGAATTATCCCAATTTTTTGTTTATTTGAAAAAATCATATTTATATTTCTATAAGGTATGTAGCACGGCGAACCTATTCAGGAGTCTCCCAAACATGCACACATGCTCTCCTATTCACGAATACATTTGCTTAGATATGTTCTCTCATACATGGACAAATATATTATTTTTTAGTGTTTTTTATCAAATAATTTTCTATTTTTTAATTTGAAATTATGGTTGGCTAAGAAATTGAAGATGTCTCCCAGACAAAAGTTGTTTGAATTCTTCTTTTACATAACATATATTTTTTGACAAGGATTTTACAATTATCTTAAAAATGGAGTTATATTAATTTATAGTTCTATAAACTCGATTTCCCAGAATCTGGTTTTTACCAAACTCCAGAAAACGACTTATAGTTCTATAAATGAGTATTCACTGAAACTGTTTTTTTTAACATCTTTCGAGTTCGCCTTGAAGACCTTTAAGATTGTCTTGTTTGAGCTATGCTTTTTGTCAATCTACTAAGAACGACTTATAGTCCTATAACGTGCTCTTTGCTGGAAAAGATTTTCTTGCACATTTTGAGAACCGCTGGACTTTCTGCCAGTTCTTTTAACTCCTTTCTCGGGAAACAGTTAAAAACGCTCTCTTTTATGTGTCAAAAATAAAAGTTTGACTTTCACTTTTTCATTCTATAAAAAATGTTAGGTTTTCTGGTTTTGTTAGGTTTTCACGAATACTATGTTGGCGGTTTTGGATTTTTGGACCGTTTCATTGAAACGCAGAAGGATTTGCACGTCCTATGAGGTTGCTAGAACGACCCTCCCCGCACCATGCCTTTCCTAGAGTCCTTCTACCGCGTGACTGGGTGCTGCCAGTAAGCTTCCTGGCCAGCAGAAGCTCACTAGGAAAGCAATGGTTTGGGGGG